TCCTTAAAATATTTGGGTTTGGGGGGGGGGGGGAAGACTTCATTCTCCTTCAAACCAGTCCCCAAGTTGATCCTCAAGTGAGGCCAGTCTTGTGTCAATAGCATCTGTATCCTCCCACAGAAATAAGTTACAGTGACCTATATTCAGAATTTTTACTTCACAAGAGGATCAAAAAAAGAAGGAAAAAAGAGGATCTTAAAAGAACTTGTATTAACTGAAATTTTTGATAACAAGAGGGCCTTGGACAATTGTGAAAAACAGAGGGAAGGAAAATGGATTTAATTTCAAATCTATTGTAACATTTCCCCCAGTGCAAATGTCCATCTTTAAAGAAAATTATCCTTTAAAAGATGAAAGTACTTTTGAGCAGAGTCCAATTTTGACCTTATGTTACAAAACCCTAACAATCAAAATGTGTTGTTTCTTTTTCAAGTACAAACTTAAGTCATAATTCCTCTCTTTTTAAGAGTGTGTATTGTTGCTCATTGATCTTTGGTCGCAAGAAACAATAATGCCACCGACAGGTCTGATCCCCAAAGTGGCAGATTTTGCTTCTTTGCCACACCTTAAGGCCCCCCTTGACAGGGTATGCCAGTATATACCGTGTCAAAATTCCAGCGGCACTTCATCACGTGTGTTATGGACCTACATAATGTAGACTTTCTCAGCTTGTGAGAAACTGAAGACTTCTTTGGTTCTTGGGCAAATTACTTTGTCATCTTGACGAATAGAAAGCAGAGACTGTAAAATGAGTAACAAAAACAGTGATTATAGTCTGAATAGTAAGCATAACTAGTCAATATGTTATTTTCAATGGTTGGCAAATGAAGTTTTGCTTCATTTCCTAGAAGTCATATTCTGTCTAAAACACTTCTGCAAAAACTTACCCCGTGTTTATGTTTAAGGGCTAGAGTATTATAAATGACATTTAGTTTAATATTATAATTTAATCAATATTAAAAGTCTTCTAAAATGTGAGAGAGTGTTATTTCTTCCTCTTTTTGTAATACACAAAATGCTTCTAGTTTCATTCAGCTATTCTGAAGAAGATTTGAAGCTCTCATTTGCTCTTGAAATTATTATGCTCACCAGAAACTCAAACTTCCACAAGTCCTTACATGAAATACTTACATTGTATCCATACACATATCCATTTGGTAACATCATGGGAGGATTATTTTCGTTCATTACATCCCCCGAAATCTTGCAGACTAGTCGGGAGTTGGCACAATGTGCCATAGGCAGAGGCTGAGCCAGCTTGTTCAGGGATTTGCTACACACAGGGCAGTCTGGATTTTTTGAACTGCCATCCTCTTTATAACACTGTCTGTTTAACAGCATGTCAAAGAACAATATTCACTGGGTGAATTTGTTATGGCATGAGAGTGAAAACACAGCTGATGAAGTTTAAAACTCACCTGTATTAAGGATAACTTGAAGTAATGAGATGCATAGCCTTATGCAGCCTACAGAAATTCCATGCCTGGAGTTCAACATGCACATAAGGTAGTTCATTTTGAACATTTCAAGAAAAAATGGGGAGAAAAGAGCAAGTGTCAGAAACCTGATAAGGGTGGAATTCCTGATGCAGGGAAAGGAGCTACAAGAACCTTGCCTTCTGTGAAATTCCCTACTCTATGCTTGAAGGCTGCTGTTGGAGTTCCCATTTTAAACCCTCTGCAAGACAGATTCAGAGTTGATGATTTTCCCCTTGAAAACTCACATTCAACCTACCCTATGGATTATAAAGAAGACTTTTTAAAATTCTCATCCAACTCCAAACATGATTGCAAGTGTATAACTTCCTGGGGTACATTGAGCCAGTAGGCTATATAAAACATGTAAAGTAGCACATACCATATTCATACTTCATCTAGTGCAACAGCCACCAGTTTGTTTCCAACAATGTTTTAAAAATTTTAGCAGATATGCTTATGTATATACTCTAGTTTAGCAAACAAAGCCTGACGGTATTCATACTTTATGGATTCCTCAAAAAACATGTCTGAAAAGGAAAAAAAAAGCTTTGTACACCAGACACTAATAATCTGCATTGAAGGATACGGTGTTTTTATAGCTGAAAGGCCTGCCTGGAGGGTTATAGTAAAAACAGAATTGTTTCCCAGCTGATGTAGTCTGTAGTTATCGTATCTAAATTGCTGAATCAGCATTCTCCATCGTGCTGGGTCCAAAAGATCCTGTTAGGAAAAAAAACCAAACCATAACTGTAAGTGCATTCCCCCCATCTCCTATCCAGCCCCCTCCACCCCACAGAAGTGAATTGCAATGAAGACTCCCCTTTGTGCTAAATTATGTACCATAAACCCTTAACTAAGAAAATAAAGACATACATGCCAATGCCTGATCTAAAAATATACATTGGGAAAGCACTGCACAGCAGTGCAGTGATTTTTGATTCTTAGAAAGAATCAAAAACTGTTTCACATGAGACTTCCATGTTACATAAAAGTCTCAGCTCCAAATGCTTTATGAATTCATGTGAATTTGCAAACAACCCCCTTTCCCCCCAGAGAATAAGCAAAAAACCCCCCAAAACAAAAACCAAAACAAAAAAAACCACACACACACACACTTTGGCTCAAAAAACTGCCTGTGGTGTATACAGTAGTAGCAATACACTGTTAAACTCAATTTATTGCAAAAGCTTGTACTCTGTGCACATGCACATTATACATACTTCCTTGCCCCACAACAATCAATTTGGGGAGGACTCTAGTCTCCCGCCCCACCCTCCATCTCAAAGGAGCTTGTAGAAACCAACATGATTTTGTAGACCCTCTAAAGCCTGCTAGGAGTGGGTTGGGTTTTTTTTTTTTTAAATTTAAATTTCTGGAATGTTGGCCCATTTATGAAGCAAAGTTAATGCTGTGGACTGTCTGTTTTGAAGCCACTGAACCACTAACACATAACTGAGCACAAGGTCTGCTGAAAAGCTATGAACATTTCCATTTCAAGCCAGGCTCTCCCTGCTAATGGTGGTTTGCAAGATGGATCTCAAAGTATTACTGCTCCCTCTTCCCTTTACAATTGAGGGCAGCACTCTGGTACACCCAGTAGCAGGAAAGCAGAATTACATTCTGGTTGGTTTTCATGGAAAGGACTATACACTGCTCACAAAAATTGTATTTATTTTGCACTCCAAGGCTGCCATGTCCAGACAAACACAGACGTGTGGTATGTGGCACTCCAGACTCGTCTGTGGAGCCACACAACACACATGCAGGCATTCCCTCCGTTGCTACCTTGCAACATGGGGGGGGGGGGGTTGTTCAACCCCAGGAGGTAGATTAATTTTTTAGTCATGGGCAAGACTTCCTTGTTTTCATAGCTCTCACTTCTCTTTCAATCTGCATTTTATATCTATATACATAGACACAGTCTCTTCTACACTAGTCATATTTTAGAAGCAAAAAAAGGAAGGAAAAAACCATTTGGAAATTAAGAAATCTGGCATCAATGGAAAAGGATTATCCAAATAAAAATGCCACAAAGTACAAATGGCATCACCACCTGGAAGACCTTCCCTATACTGCTTAGGGCAGAATGGCAGTTTAACACACAAAAAGAATCTTCACTGAAGCTTTTAACCTCACCGTAGGAAGAAAAAAAAAGTTTTCAACTTATTATAGGGCCTCCAAAACAGTTTTGCCACGTGCAACTGAAATGGTAGGTTTAAGAATTAGAGTGCTGGCCATCCATGCTTCTCTCAAACTCCTCCTCCTCTGTACCAGAGTCAGCTAACAACGCTGTTTTTTTATACAGTTTCTGTCAAGGACAGACAAGAACTGGGTGATATCAGAAGCAAATGAAAATTCAATACTGTTTGCTAACAAGTTCAAACCAGACAGGGATGTACAGTTTAGTATCAATTCATAGCTTTCTGTCTACATACTAAAAGCTGTAGAAGGCTACAGTTTCCTGCCAGAAGTGTTGCTGTTACCTGCGGCACACCCAAATATATCTTGGATCCATGCCTCTTCTAGTACTTACATTTGGAATATTACAGCTCCATTTGATGTTCTGTCTAGTTCTTAACTGCATGATAAACCACTTTACTATGGGAAAGGCTAGCTTGAATTACGTGCTTCTGATGGACTTTACCCTGTCTAGAAACTTAAATAATTTCTCCCAGAGATTAACTGTTTTCTAGCACTCAAACCAACTGAAGAGTAAGAAGTTGACTTTTGGACGTGTGAAATTGTGCCAGGCATTAGGTATTTAAAAAAAGATTCGACTTCTGTACAGTTCGTAAAACCTCATTCCAAAATGAGGATTGTGTAACACTAGCAATACAGAAGGAAACTGTCATAGTGAATGGGAACCAGATGCCTGACTCCTTTAAGCAATCTCATTCACAGCGAGCATGTTTTTCAGGAAAGAAGATCACATATTTTGCATTCAATGATTTTGGTATTTAACTGATTATATGCCTAAGAAAATGTTTTTGTTCACGTTTCCCTATTGCTTTCTCCCATCTCTGTGATCAGCTGAACACACATATATAGGGTTTATTACTGGCTGAAAGTTTCACAGGCCTTTGTCAACAAGTCAATATACAGGCATGCCTTGACTTACAACGTTTCGACTTACAATGTTTCACACTTAACAATATTTGTAAATTGACACCCTGTTTTGACTGACGTCAGTTTCGACTTTATGATGCCTGATCTGACGCGACGTCATCCCAGCGAACAAGTTTGCTGCATCGCTCATCTCCCTGGAGAACATTTGTCCAAACTTCCTTAGACACTTTCTTTAAGAAAGCAGACAAGTCTCCAGAAAAACCTGCAGCCAAGACTCCTGAGAAGACTCCAGCCAAGAGCCCTTCAAAACATCCAGTAGTCATCTCAAAGAAGTCCTTCCAAATCAGTATGATTGCTATTTACAATATAAATATATTAAAGTAGCTATATTACTCATCTATAATTGATTAAGTATAAAATTCTGGGTTATTTTTTTGGTGAAAACAGGGTATTGGGCCTTGGTTCAGGAACCAATCCCCCATTTATAACATTGTTTCCTATGGGAAAAATCGGTTCCGAGTTGCAATGTTTCAACTTAAGATGCAGTTATCAGAAACCAACTGTGTTGTAAGTCCAAGGACTGCCTGCACATCTAGAGACATTTGCTATATTGTTATTATAAAAACAACAGCATAGTTACTATGCTACTCTGAAACTTATGTAGCTTTTTTTGTTTCCTATCAGCATCATAAATAAAGGTCCATATTTTTAGGAACTATTTCCTTTCCCTTAATTTGATGCCCATTGTGTCAAATACTTATATTTAAAGAAATCTACTGTTTTGATAGCCCATTCAATGAGACTGCAATATTTTCCTAGATTCCTCAAAATATTTTTAAACTTATATTTTACAAAATGTAGTAAACTACACCAATCCTTTACCAGTTTGACAACTAACATGTCAAAACAAGATAAATAAGAGTCCTACTGATTAAAAAAATTATCTGAATATTATGTCTTGGATACAAGTGAAATTCCAAAGGCATTTAATACAGTTTAAATTTAGGCACTTGAAGTTTCCATGAAGAAAAACCTGTCCAAGGAGACCCCAGAGAGAAAAGAAGCCACTGATCTCACTCTCAAACACAAGATGCAAATAATAATAATAATAATAATAATAGGGTAATGATAATTATGTTCGATTTATGTTAATCATAAAATATCCCTAGAAGTAGTACTTACTTAGTGCAATGTTGTTACTGAACACACACCTAGAGCTAAGAGCATCTCATACATAAGTCACATTTGTCAGCACTCTTGGGGCTGGGGTTTTCATTTAAAAAAAGAGAATGTGTTTGCTTAATCAGATTTTTAAAATTAAAGACTTTATTCAAACATGCCTATTTAAAATTAAATGTGAAATAAACTCCAACCTACAGTAAGGCCTAAATATGACACAAGCCAATAAAAATGTTAAATTAAAAAAATATTAAGCACTACGTGGTTGTTGCCAGAGTTTTAAAGAAAGTGAACGTATTGGTAGACATTGCTGGTTAAGCACCAAGATTCACATTTCTATGGAAGTGTGACATGATCAGCTCGTCTAAAAGGCACTTAGAAGGGGACATGATAGCAGTCTTCAAATACTTGAAAGGCTGCCATAAAGAAGAGGGAAAGAATCTTTTGTCTTGCTGCAATGGAGCGGATGCAGAGCAATGGCTTGGCAGTTGCAGTAAGTTTACATTGGTTATCAGGT